GTAAAATATATTTAAAATTCATTATTGGAGTATAAAAAAATTCAATATTGACAAAAATTAGTTGTCGTACTCGTATGAGTTATTCACATGTTTAGATTAGGGGTGAGCAAAATTGAATTGAATCAAATTTTGTCTGTTTGATTTGGTCTATTTGATTTTTTGATTCGATTCGGTTTTTTATTTTAAATATTTCAGTTGATCGGTTCGATTCGGTTAGTCAAATTTAAAATCGAATAGACCAAACTAACCGAATTATATATAATTTATTAATTTATAAATTATATTTAATTTATAAATTATTTTATTTTATTTTATTTTTATTTTTTATTTTAATAAAGAATAACAAATAATAACATCATTTGAAACCCTATTTCGATCAGTCACTTTTAACCCTATGTTTTATAAATTATTTATTTAATTATCCATGCCTTTATAATATTTGGGCTTTATGTCATATGAGTGTAATTAAAATGGGCTCATATTGAAAAAAATGAATAAAAAAAAAGCCAATTTTGTATTATTGTTTGTTTTAATATTTAAAAAATAGGTCCAATTTTAATAGCCCAATATAAAATTAAAAAATTAAATTAACCGACCAAACCGAATTATCAAATTTCAGTTCGATCCTTGTTCGGTTTGTTCGGTTCGATTCAGTTTTCATTTTCAGTGTTATTTGATCGATCAGTTCTGCATGTTTTGGGATCGAACCGATCAATACTCAAGGAATGGTTGAGATTTGAAATAATTAAGGTTAAATTTTATGTATATAAATAATGGATTTAGTTTAAATCTAAATCTCCACCAATCCATACAAAATATTAATTTAAATAAGGTTTGAAGTAAAATATTTTAGAAAAAATTAATCATCTGATCTTTAAATTTAACTCCTTATAACTTAGTCTCTGAAGTTTTAACATTTAAACTTTATCTTTTATAATTTAATCCTTATAGTTTCAATTACTTAAATATTAGTCATTATATTTTAACAAATAAAATTATAAAAATTAAAAATATATTAAAATTCATTACTAATATTTTAACTTAATAAACCATTTTAATTTTTATAAATATTAAAAGTTTAAAATATTTTAAATATTTATAATTTTATTTTTTAAATATAAAAACTAATATTTAAGTAGTTGAGATTATGAAAATTAAATTGTAAAACAAAAATTTTAAAGATTAAATTAAAATTATAAAAATTAAATTATAAAGAATTAAAGTTTAAATATTGAATTACAATTAAGTTAAAATTATAAAAATTATACGTACCAAATATCACTGATTTGTACGTTATAAGGCCATGGCCCAACGGGAATGCTATGGGTCTATGAGGCTCCAAGTTGTTGTTTATATATTTTCCTTGGTAGAACCATAACAGACAGTACGGCCTGTGCCCAAACTATACAACTTCAGCAATCAGTACTAGTTAGGACAAAAAATAATAATAATAAGAAGAAACTTGGTTTTGGATAGCAAGGGGTCTCAAAATTTTATTGTCATTTTTTTTCATCTAAAAAAAATAATATATGAAGTAAACAATTGGTTTAGTTAGGTTTCATTATTTTATTCTTTGTCAATTGTCATTCATTCAAACACTTACTACTGTGAAAGTGAGATTTCCCTAGCTTGTTTAGATAGCAACCCATTCTAAAGTCAAAGAGTGTGATATGATCACCAGGCTGTGTGATTTCCTTGTGTCATTTGTGGGGGTAAAGCAAACAAAAGGTTTTATGGTGTTTGGTGAAAACAAAGACTCAACATTCATGGCATTTGAACTTGTAGACTTGTAGGTGATTGGCCTCTAAATGACATACATGTTGCCAAATCCGTCTTCACATGCGCGAACATGCATATTTTGTGTTACTTTGATTTTGATTTATATATAATATTAATGTTAATTAAAATTAGTACGACATACATGATTTTTCAGAATTTATTCCTTATATGTATATAATTTAAATTATTGAAAAAAAAAATTTGATTCATAGAATTATGATCAACTTACGTCAAGCTTCCTGTAATTTTTCTACTTTCATCAAAGTTTACGCTATTATCACGTCAAATTATTTTTTTGGAATTTTGACCAAAGCTAACCATACTTTTGGGGTTGATATCTTAATCACAATTGCAAAGATCTTGACCTAGGTTAACTACAATTTTATAGACTTGTTTTTTCTAATTATAATACAATTTACCAAAAATAAATAACTACTTTTTTTAAAATTATTTTTTTGTTAAAATTTAAAGTATTTATCTCAATTTTTGTTGGAATTATCTGAATAATATATAAAAAATACATTCAAGCTTGTTTTCGTTAAGTATTCTTCATAAATTTTTTTATATTAACTATATGCTTTTTAATTTGGTGCGATTTGAATTTTTAAATTTTTTAATTCTTATACATAATTTAATATTATATCATAAACTTTCATAATTTAATATTATATCATAAACTTTGTCGTATGTTATACAAGTATGAATGATAAATATTGAAAATTAAAAACATAGACTAAATGTGTGTGTGTGTGTGTTAATTACATCAAAAAAAAGTCTCCATGACATTCATCCTAATGCATCCCTGGTCCCCCACTATTTTATTTTTTATCCATTTCTGACAAGTGATAATACAGCTAATTTTGAGTTTCACTCAATTTTCTTCATTCTTTTAACTTTCACTCAATTTTCATCTTCGTGTAACTTTGATTTTACTCCTTCAATACTAGCTACATATTTTAAAATCTTTTGCATGATGAAAAGTATCATAGGTCAATAGTAAAGACTAATCTCCAAATTATGGAAGACAAAGCTGCAAAGAGCCAACCCCATGAGAAATAGTTTTAAATATTTTAAGGTTTATTATTTTTTGTAAAATTTTTTCTTTACATAAAAAGAAAGTTCAATGTTCTTTAAAATTAGTTTGACTTAATAAAGAAATAAAACTCAAATCCATCTTTTTTTCCCCCTTGGATTGACAAGTTCATTCCAATTTGAGGGAGGAACATTCTATTGAGATTAGGATCCATTGAAAGGTTTAAAATTTAACCAGGTATAGGATGTGATCATTGGCGGAACCACATTATAGTGGCAGTAGGCAAATCTACCCCTCCACTTTTAAAAAAATTACAAGTAAGACATGCAAATTTTACAATTTTACACCTTTTGCTTTTGATATTTTGCATCCCCTCAACTAAATAAAAAATATTTGATCTCAAATACTTATTAAATATATAATATTTTAATGATCGATATTAATATGAAGAGTATATTACATCAAAAGATAATATTAACATGTTTAACATAATTTTCTAAAAAAATGATGATCAATCAATTTATATATTTTTTTACAATTTTAATTCTAGAATCATTATTATTTTTAATTATTCAAATTAAAAATTTAAGTAATTTTAAAATTAAAATATCTTGTACCCCTTATTTTAGGTGTTGATTTCACTGTTGTGATTAAACGTATAGAGTAGTTTTTAGGAAAAATGGTAATAATTTTTTTTGAAATATATAAATAATAATTTAATCTTTTAAAATGTCATAATTTTTATGAAGTTCCTAAAGATTTTTTTGTCATTAATGAATTTATATAAATTATCAAATTACTCTTGTTGAAAATAAATGATTCACAATTTTTATTTTTATATTTATAAATTTTTTTATATTTACAATAATATAATAACAAATAAAAAATTTAACATATAAAATTATGATTTACTGTTGCATTGTTGTTAATATAAAAAAAAGTTGCGAATATAAAGAGAGAAATTGTGAATCATTTATTTTTAATAAGGTCAATTTAATAATTTATATAAATTTATAATAATAAAAAAATCTTTATGAACTATATTTTGAAAAAGTAAATTATTATTTATATATTTTAAAAGAATTTTATTATCATTTTTTAATTTTTATGCACAAAAAAACTTAAAAGCATATTTTCCCGCCATTCCCACGTGTTCGCAGTAGCTCGAAGAATCGATGCCTCCGCACACTTTACATAGATAGTCAAACATGTAAATGATTGTTTGTCCTTTTTGGTGGAATGATAGATCACTCACCAAAATTTCTTCCCCAAATGAGTGGTGGATTCAGTTGGGCCTGTGGGTGTTCATCACCGTCCAGTTTATATCATTCAAATTAAAATTAGATGGTATAGATTTAATATGATTTTATTTTATATTGTTAATATTTTAATATATATTTTAGATAAAGATAATCTTGTAAAAAATTTATTTAAAAATTATCAATTGAAAAGTTTAAATCTAAACCGTTGGAATTGGATTTGAATGATTTAGATTTTACCGCAACGATAAATATCAAAATACTCATGACTGTAATGAGCATGGAACTCATTAACTTCATTAATCATTTGATTTGCTACTAGTCAAAACGTTTGGACCCCAGCAAGATTTCCATTCTAAGTATGTATTCCCCCCCCCCCCCCCCAAAAAAAAAAAACCCGAAACCAAATCGTTTCCAAAGATCATATAATGGTAAAATGTTCTCCAGTCATACCACAAGTGATACATCGTAATCACCGGAAAGCTAAATGACACTTAAACTAGAGAAGGATGAGTTGATTTTGAGCCAACCTAAGTGTTAGTGTGATTAATTAAACTATTATCATTGACTTTTAAAAGAGAAAGCAATAAATAGATTAAGTTATAATATTTATGAAATCAAAACGAAATCTAAATAATAATAATTATAACATCAGGTTCAGTGGGTATATGGTAAAATAAAAATAGAGAGAACGTTAGGTTGGTGCGTTGAAGAGGTTCTAGTTTTGAAGGTTAGTTCAGTGGAACGGTCTTTCCTTGGCATCAAACCGAAAACTTAAGAATTCCTGAAATGTGGCGCCTCCCACAACAAGCATGCAACATTCGACAATCAACAACGTAGTTAGCGATCGATCGTCCGGTCCCTTCTACGTCTGGTAATAACAAACAGTCTCAGCTACCAAATCAATCACACACCTTTCAATTCATGCATGGCCCACCTCCTTCGTCATCCTCATTATCTTCTTCTTCTTCTTCTCCTCACTACCACACTCTGCCTCTAACCTCTTTCACTCACAAGAAGGAGGTGAAGGAGAGGTCCTCTTCTGCTTTACTTCTCTTCTGGCTGTTCTTACTTTCCCTCCAAGTAAGTACTTTTGTGCTTTTGTTCTACTATGTCAAGTTTGACACAAACCCAGAAGGGTAATTTCTCTGCAAGTTTGGAAGATATTTAAGCATTACATTAGCATATGTATTAGGACCTGTTTTTTTACATAGGCATCACATAAGCTTTAATCCACTTCTTGTTGTACCAGTATTTGTAAACATGTAGTAATGCTGAGACTCATGTTTGTGTCAATGAGTTTACTCAATTCCTAAGTGTATGCTTTTTACCGTCATTGATGTAGTTTACATGGATTTAGGTATACTAACATTTGCTTATATACATGTTGCTATGTGATGTATCTATAGAATGGCTGAGGGACTGGATAAGCCTTTGCTTGACCCTGAGAATTTCAGTCGAGAGGGTGTTGATTTGGTAAGTTTTACAACCAGTGCTGACCTTGAGTCAAAATTTATGCCATATTTATCACATTTTTCAAATTCATCCTATACAGAAGAATAACAATTTCAAGTGAAAATTGATCAGGAACGCATACCATTAGAAGAAGTTTTTGAGCAGCTAAAAACATCCCCGAGAGGACTGTCATCGGATGATGCTGAAGCCAGACTGGAGATATTTGGCCCAAACAAGCTTGAAGAGAAGCCTGTAAGAAGACGCTTCATGAAGATAGCAGATTTTTTTTTCCCAAAAAAAAAATTCATGATATAGAATCTGAACAAGATATTACGTGTCTCTAATTGTCTATGAAGTGTGACAAAAAGAGGTCATGTTATGAAACAGAGTATTATTAGTTTTTTTTTTTTTTTTGGGTCATGACAGTTTTATTAGTTATCACTGAAGTAGTTATTTTATCATTCTGTCTCAAGAAATATGACAATTTTGAAAAGACATAAGCTCAGATAGAGTCTACATTTTAGTCTAAAGTAAGATTAAAAAGAAATTAAAAAGCAAATAATAGTTTTCTTCTCATTCTTTTATATTAGCTGAGGCTATAATAAGAAAGGTGGAGATAGTCCGTAAAATTTATTCCGTCTTTGCCTTATCTGTAAAACTCTTTAACCTTTTCCTCTTGCTGCACGTCACGGCGTTGTATGTATAGTTTTTAAGTTTGCTAAGAAAAAATGTAAATAATTTAGTTCTACTTTCCGCCATTGACATGGTTGATGAAAGTCACTATGGATATTGGATTGGAAAGTTTCAAACTGTTCTAAATTGTTTCTATGTTATTTTCTATGAGAAGACAACAGAAGAATGTCATTATTCTAGCATCCTTATATATCTTAGTGAAATAATTTCATTTTCAAATATTGATGCAGGAAAATAAAATATTGAAGTTTCTGAGTTTCATGTGGAATCCTCTATCATGGGTCATGGAAGCAGCTGCTATAATGGCAATTGTTCTTGCTAATGGTGGAGTGAGTGGACAACAAAATTCATGTTCTGCAATCTTTTCTCATCTTTCCATGTGACTGTTTACTTATACCTTTCATTCCTCATTTCTCTATTTGGGTGATATTGTAGGGGGAAGGTCCTGATTGGCAGGACTTTGTGGGGATTGTATGCCTTCTGATCATAAACTCCACCATTAGTTTTATCGAAGAGAATAATGCTGGAAATGCAGCAGCTGCACTGATGGCTCGTTTAGCCCCGAAAACGAAGGTGTCCATCTTCTTCAATAATTCTCTAACCCATTACCTATGATTTCTTAGTTCACGGTGAACAAAACTTGTTGAATGAGTTAAAATGTCCTAGAATTATGAAGAACTTCAAGAAGTAGGGCCATGTATGCTGCTAGGTTATCAAGGCCGTCACCTTGGACCTCAAAAAATGTTCACTGATACGCCATGTATGCTACTGGGTCGTCAAGGCCGTCACCTTGGACCTCAAAAAATGTTCACTTATACCCTATGTAGCTAGTTATTAATTTTCCCATTAAGCATTAATGTTGATTACATATTTCCATTAAAAATATATTACTTGTTTATACCCTATATAACTGGCCGTTATTTTTTCCATTAAGCATTAATGTTGTTTATATCTTTCCATTTAAAATTTATTGCCTACATTTCTGTGCACCTATCACTCCCCATTCCCATTAAAAGGCTAGAAAAGTGATATCAAGATGGATAAATGACAATACATTAGGCTTCTTAAATAATTTTGCCTTAGGTTCCAAAACTTCTTCACATAGCCTTGTCAAGAAGTTCCTTATTCATGCAGTTTCAAATTAATTCAAGTTGCGAAGCAATGCTTATTGCGGTTTGAGGGTTATAAGTGGAGTGGAAGTCTTTAATTCAATGTAGTATTTTTCGCCGTGCTATATTTGCTGTAATTGAAAATCCATATTCTTCTTCTAATGCTGTCAAAACTGGAGTGGGCACTGTATATTTGCCCATAACCCATGTATATAAGGCTATACTTAATATGATTTATAATTTAATTGATTTCTGTTGTATTTTGGTCCGATATTATTATTTTGTTTCAAAATTTTTACAAAATATAAGGACTTTATGATAATATGTCAAGTGGTCAATAACTTTTACAACAGCTGAAGTTTCCCTGTTCTTGAACAAAAAAAGCACTGGACTTCTCTAACATCCAAATATCCAGGTTCTGAGAGATGGCCAGTGGCAAGAGCAAGATGCAGCTATTTAGTACCTGGAGATATAATCAGCATAAAGCTGGGAGACATCGTTCCAGCTGATGCTCGTCTTCTTGAAGGAGACCCCCTAAAAATGACCAGGCAAGTATCTGCTGAATAGAGAACAAAATCCATCAATACTTTGATTCACTGATTTCCCATGTAGTCGCTTCACTGTGGTTATTATCA